AAAGTTCTGTTTAACAAAGGGTGCAGTGAGAATTCTGGAGCAGTCTCCATATCCATAGGGACTTGCCCTGCTACCAGGTAGTTCTATTTAGAAGACCACATTTGGTATCATACAGTATTGGAGCACATTCAATAAATATCCTGATAATTTTGAGACTACTTTATTTATTTGCAACAAATTTGAGAATATTCATTCAGAAAATTAAAATCACTTAAAAAGTCTATCTTTACTGAAGCAGCAGCTGAAGAGCTTGTAATCTGAGCAGCATCCCCTGAAATTCAAAAAGAAGCAAAGCTGTGATTTTGATCATGTTACTGTGACAGCTGAGCCAGTAACCAAAAATTCAGAAATTAGTGCAAAATGATGCCACTAGACTATGAAATTCAGCTGTTTTGCTGTTGACATTTTCTTGCCATTTTGATCTGAAAGGAATCAAAATGCCTTTAGTCATTCAGACTGTACTTCAAACACAGTTCTATTTTCATTTCAATGTTGTTGATGCATGGACTTTTAATATACCCCGTGCATGTTTCTTGTCAATAACATTAAGAAAAAAACCCCTCTATTTATAGATATACCCTATTAAAAACCATTGCATAAAAAACCTAGTTGTTTGGTTAGAATAATACAAATGGCTCTGCTCTCCAACTAAATTCTAGCCCCTAAAATTAGAAACCTAACTATGAAAAGAAATTCAGTCACCTAACAACAATATTCTGCTCTATGCTTCTCAGCACATAGTTAACACTGGCTGGCAATATCTGAAATGCACTTATTTAGGCAGAGCACAGCAAGAGGCCAGAGATACTCATGCACCCAAGTCTCAGATCAGGTGAAAGTTTCTAACATGAGGCTTTTCTACCTTTGGAAACCCAAGTAACACAGACAGTCAATGCACTTGGAAAAGATCTGCATGCCTTGCATGTTAGATAAACTCTTGACTCTTTAAAAAGGAATCTTCACATTGCTGTGTTACTCCTTGGGCAAGTAAACTACACAAGGACTTTATATGCACAGTCTTTGACCACTGGTCCAGAATGTGTTTGCTATTTGTAAGCAGGCATTCAGAAGCTTATTAGCAAGATTTAGCACAAGATCTGGTGCTCTAGCTTACTGAAGCATACAATGGATCACCCACGAAATCAATTTACTTCACATCTTGTGAGAAGTAGAAACATGATCTTCCTAGCAGTGATTGCCTCCTTCTCCATAAGACTGCAAAATGTCCTACCAAAAATAAAAGCATGATTTATCTCTTGCTTCCACTTCCTTCAGTTTTCCTTCTACCACTTCTCCTTAGAGCTATTTCCCACCATCACCAGGAACACACCTTCTACCAAATTAGCACTGGCAGAAAGGTGAAGAGGAAGTGACATACTTGACCATACTGCAGTCTGCTGAGTGTCTAAACCCTCATTAAAGGCTTTTGCCCTGTGATTACAGTAGTGCTTGATGCAGCATTAAAAAGCAAACATGGCTAAAATTAAGACCTTAAGAAAGGACCCTTTTCAATCCTAACTCAGCAAATCTGCTAGGAGCATCAGTCCAGCAGGATTTCATGCAGTCCACAAGTTTGCTTAGCAGGCTTTAGGAGGTCAAACCCAAAGAGGCAAATCCACCAGTAAGCCTCCACTGGGACTGAATGTCCATCCCAGATGGATGCTGTAGAAACTATTTCTATCCCATCATTTCCTGTACCTTCTGTGTTTATAAGAGATTCAGACAGTATTTTGCATTATCTCAACAGTTTGTCCTTTGTAGGCAGAATGGACAGTTTCCCTCTTAGTAGAAACTAACAGTGAATTACCAGAAGTTTAATCACCGGTACGCGAACTTCACTGAGCATTGAAAGTCTTGCTGCAAGTCACAAAATCGGTTTGCTGAAGCACCAGGGTCAGTGTTTCTTTTACATTAGACTCAGTGTCTATTGACATACAAAAAATACCAATATTTTTGTACTGAAAAAATATTTATATTGAAAAGACAAAATGTCAATATCAAAAAAATCTATTGCCTTATCAAGTGCAGTTTACAATTTTAAAAGCCAATTTAATTTTACCTTAAAACCAGTAATTGAATAAGGAACACAAAATGCGAACATTTAGGCTACTTTACCACTATCATTGCTTTTCCAGACACAGTGTTTAGGTGTGACCTATCTCTTTTTCTTTTTCCTTCCCTTTTAGACTTTCAGTAGCTTCTGCATTCCCCCTCCAAAATTAACATGTAATATCAGAAAAAACATCAACTGAGCATTTCAGGGACGAAGGAACACTTGAATTATTAGCAAAATACAATCTTTAAAGCCATATAAATAAAAATCCAAGGGTGATTCTTCTTTCCATGTTTGTCTCTAATTTTACACTAGACCGGAAAAGTGTGGTAGATCCTTTATTTTGGAGCCTACTGAGCTTGAGAACCCCCTGCAACCTCCAAACAACATTTTTTTAAGCTCCATACACCCATTTCTAGGCTATCAGCATAACACAGCAGAGATGGGCAACTTGGAACCCTGCAACACTCTCTTGTACAAGCACAACCAGTGTAAGAACCAGACTTGCAATCATTTTCTGTTATCAGTTCTCAAGGTGAAACTTGGCTGACATCCAGCCTTTTCCCCTTTAAAGGAATTGGAATTAAATGGATAGTCTGTACTATTGTTCTTGCTAATACTTCAAGTGTTCCTCCATCCCTCAAACAGCTTTGATGTCATCTAGCTCCACTTGAAGGGGAAAGAATGTGTTTGGGAATAATTAACAAGCTAAAAATGACTTTGTCAGAACATTTCTGTTATTGAATTACTTGCAGCTACCAGCTTTAGAGAGCTGAGACAGTAGTTGGGCACAATTAGAGCCCTTTAAAGGGGAAAAATAGAAGAGTCTTTTAGTGAAGCATGCAAAGTTGGACTTAAGGAGCAGGTTAATCTCCTGATTCTGCCCCAGAATTCTCATGTAACCTCAGGCACATCTTATAGTCTACCTATACTTCAGCCGCTCACAGAAAAGACCCCCAGTGACTCTTGCGTCATTATAGCATAAACAAATATTAACATTGCAACAGAGCTGTCTCTTATCCTGCATTCCTACCTGATCCAGCAGAAGAGTCCTGTATTTTATCAAGGCCTCCAGGCACTATTTTAATACAAATATCCTCAAGTCAGAAGTCTTTTTCTCTTCAGTCTTATGTAGTGCATTGTTATTTTGAAGAGATGCAGTAATAAAACTGCCAGCCTTTATAACAAGGATTGTGAGCAACCAATAAAAAAAAAAAATCAACTAGCATGTGGCTCTTCCTTCTGCCATTACAAAGCACAAATAAAGACATTTCTGTTGTCCCTTACAACTGATTCAGAACCTCAGATCACTTAGTCTCCTGCTTCATAGGGAAAACTAGTACATATTATATAGAAAATTACTTTAAGCCTACCCTTTGTTATGGGATAACTTAACAGAAAAAAAAAAAGTTCTGGCCTTAATAAATTGCATTTCATGCCTGGATTTCCAAGCATTTGAGCTATCTCACCCTTTCAATTAAGATAACTGTTCCATCAGCTGTGCCAGGACCTAGCCTGAAGCTCTTCTATATTTAACCTTTTCAAGCTACAATGAAGAAATTAAGATTATAGTTAAATATCCAGTCCTTCTTTAACTAGCTCTTCTTTAAATTTATGTCTAAAGGATTAGATTAGCTGCTCTGTACCTGAACAGCTATAGGCTCTGACAAAAGTCTGCATATACAAAGTCAGATTTGGTCAACAGAAAACCAAGATTGAAGACAAAAGATCAAATTCTGAGAGGGGAAAAAAAAAGAAAACCACAACCAAAAACCAACTAACCTTTTAGCTCAGCCCACTGTCTAGTAGTATGAATCTCGACTTTTTTTTCAAACTCTAAAGGCTCCCTACCCCCCACTGCATCCCTTTTAAATCAAATCTGGACCTGGCAACATCTGTGGTTTGTTACTGTTATCTCCAGCATCTGTGGTTCATTGCTCTTATATAAGCCCTCAGCTTCTTTGTAATGCTTTGCTAAAGAGGAACATTGGTAATACTTTGGGGATGGAAAGTGTTTCAATAGGGAAAAAAAAAATAGGTGAAAAGAAGAATGTTTTTCTTTTTTAACAGAGCTGTTGTTAATAGTCCTGTAGCAGAAAGAAAGTATTTTTTGTAAGAAAACAAGACAGTCATATCTGTTCTGAAAGCATAGATAGGCAGATTTTGTCTGTTGTATTGCTAACTTAAACTTTTGTGTTTGACCCTAGAGAGGAGGTCATATAAGAATCTGTCTATCAATGAGAGGCTGCTCTCTTATTAGTGGAAATACTTTCTTAGGTTAGATCTGATTTCTTGCCTCCTAGGTTTTATCATAAAGAAATTTTTTTTGACCTGCTTATTTTATGCTTATTTAGTGTCTCTGCACATTGAGTTGAAGGCAAGTACAGAAGCACACAATGAGAAGGAGCAGCAAAGTTTAAAAATTCATAAGGAGTCAGCAAAGGAATTCCTAGTTGCAGTGGGTTGGGAAGGATGGGTTGTCCTTGACAACCAATGTAGCTGAGCCTGGTATGTGTGAAAGCTTCTTGTCTGCCCTTGAACTCCCCAAAGGAAATACCTGGTGTTTGAACTGAGCAGCACCCAAAGCAATGCACCGTGACTCAGCGCTCCTATGTTTTTGTCTCTTCAGAAAACTGTAGGCCTTGATTACAGATCATGCTGCTAAGTGAAGCTGTCTAAATGTATTGCACCCTGTAGTGAACACACTTGTACTATGGTCACCTATGTTGTACTTACTGTGTTGAAAAACAAAGCAATGTTGTGCCTTCCTAAGGAACTAATTCAGTGCCTGTTATGCTGTGGTCTGTTTCAAAAGTTGCAGTTAAAAGCTCTGCTTTTAACCGTATCCTATGAGTGTTCAGTTTTTGCTGCTCTGTGTTTCTTTCTATCCTGACTGTAGAGAAAATAAGAGGTGAGAGGGAAGCTGTTGAGAAGTGTGGCCAAAGAAGGGAAAATGCAACTTACCAGCCAGACCACTCAATTGTCACCAGGCTGAAAGGTGGCAAAATGTAAGCGTGGGATGCTGTCACCGTGCAGGCTGAAAAAAAAACAAAAACAACAACAACAACAAAAAAAAAAAAAAACACAAAAAAAACCAAACAAACAAAACAACGAAGAACAGGAAATTCAATTTTGTGTGTAGGAAGAAAACAATCCTGATGGTTAAAGTGTTTGATGGTTTCTGAAAACGTTGAGGACCAGACGTTGCAGCAGGATATATAAACATGAACTTCTAAATAACGTCTGTCAAATGCTGATGTCCTGGTTTGAACCTTTAACACTAGCTGAGGAGGCAGCACAAGATGCTTGCTGTGTACCCCCCACCCCAGCATACATGCACCACCACCACCAGCCCCCCAAGCCTCCACAGCCTGAGTATGGTTGTTCTTTCTACTTCAGTTTAGATTTCTTCTTTGAACTTTAGTTCTCATTATTTTTGGACTTGTCACTTTGTTTGGAAAGATTTATTTCCACTGTTCCTTCTCTGTTCTTTCCTTGCCTCTTCTCATCTGGATGCTTTTTTGGCAAACCCCACTGCTATTTTTTATGACTTTGTGTACTGTTTCAAAACAGTAAAATGTTTTTGAAGCAAGATGATCCTGTGTTGCTATGTTCATGTGGTAGCTCTTCCACCTCTGCTCATTTTTAAAGGCTTTCTGCTGTACTTGCTTTCAGTGTTCATTAAGAAAACAAGTCACTGAATTGTAGCACTCAAAACCCCCCAAAAATCCACTCTTCTGTGTAAGCATCTTGATGCTATTAAGTTTTTTACTTCCCTCTGTGACAGCAAGCCAGGTGTCTCTGTGATCACATGTTCCTTTTCACAGATAGGAGTAAAAAGGAGCAATCTTGATATTTCTGTCAAGCGGTGTTTAAATTGGCTGAGGTTGGTGGAAAGGGGACAGCTGGCTGGTGTGATCACTGAATTGCCACTTCCTTTGGGCAGCAGGACTAAGACTAAAACATTTGTCCCTGTGTATTTCAGATCGGGTTGTACCACTCTAGCAAAGTATGAACTGATTTCTCTTGGAAGTTGGAGGCTAAAATTTAAGTCTAAATTTAGTAGCTCAAAAATCATGCCAGTTTATAAATATCCATGTAAATAGATTTGATTGGCTGAAATGGTTGTTTCTTTAATGCTCTTGGGTGAGGCTCCTCTTCTGTCTACAGGCCCCTACAAGAAGCTTTTGAAAACTCTTCAGTACATGCTCAGAAAAATATTCAATACACTAAATGATAGCAATAGAGTTTTGATATTGAGATTTTTTTGGAGAAGCTGTCTCTGCATACTTAACCAGTATAGCTTGAATGTTAATTTTATATTGAATTGGTCACAAAGTGCATACAGTTCTATTTTGTGCTTATATTAGCAATAAAAACAACTATTAAGGTCAGGCTTCTAGAGCTAACACCTGTGCTTCTCAACTCAGATTTTTCCTAAATTGGGGTTTCTTTTTAAAAAGTCTCAGTTTTCTGCCAGTTGGATATTTTTTTGTTTTCAGAACTCCTCTTGGAGGTGCTGAGGTAGCAACACAATGCTGGTCCATGGTAATGGTTTAAACAGGCTCCCAGATAAGAAAGATGGCTCATGGCTATTACTTAGAAATCAGGAAAATAGATGTAGCATGTATTCGTCAGTGCCAAGTAAGCAACCATTCTATTTTATACTAGGCAATATCTTGTCTGCCAGGAGTGCAAACTCACCTCTAATACAAGAGATCTGTCCCTGATAGAACTCTTACTGACTTTGAGACTCAGTTTTCCCATCATAAGTATCTTAACCTGTATTACAATGGCCTCCCTCAACTGTGTTTTCATATTTTTCTTTCTGCTCTAGACACCTTGACTGTCAACTTCACATTTATAAAGTTAAAAAGGAACTTTCTATGAGTGCTGGAGTAGAACACAGGGATCCATGTGAGTATGAGCAGGTTTGAAACAGCATTGTCCAGAAGGAGAGTAACTCCCGGATCTGGACCTGTAATGGACATCAGTGAAGGACAGCTGAATGTCAAATTTAGGACCAAGAAATGTTGGTTCACTGCATGCAGTTCTCCAGAGAACGTCATACAGTCCTGTCCGGGAAGATCTAGTATTTCTTCCAGCAGTAATAATTACTTGCATCTTTTCTTAGAAAACTTCATAAGGACTTCATTCCTCAGGAGTTTTTTCATTCCTCCACATTCTTCACCTGACACTCTCTTGTGAGCCAGTTTTTCCCTATACCCTTCTCAGAGCCAGTGCTGGGTGAAATACCTCTTTTCCCCTCCTAATGAGTGACTTCAGTCTACTACAAAATAAAAGCATAATTCCACTTTTAGGCTATCTCCTGTACCTGTTTCATCTTTCTTGAAGAGGACTAGCCAGAACTGTATACTTGGGTGTGACAAGTATGCAGTTTAAGAGGTGACTGTGAGCAACTCAGAAGAAAATGCTGGATTTTACCTCCTTTTGTTGGAAAAGGATATCCCAATATCAGAGCAACTCTGTCAACAGTTGTACTGCTGGAGCAATTTGTACCAGACCCGTGTACATCTGCAAAAATAATTTGTGCAGCAGCCACTGGAGGGGTAATAAGGACTATTTTTTTTTAATCCACTTATTGGTGGAATGTATGGATATTGTTAATCATTTTCCTGTATTAAAAATGAGCATGTCTAACTTCAGCTTCTGGAAGACACAAATGCAACAGTCATTTCCCCCTCCTTTTTGGAGCTTGGAGTAGGTTTTCAAGGGCAAAACAAGGTAGTCCAAATTCTAGTGAGACCTGTGGAATGTAGCTCACAGAGGGTCTTCAGGCAAGCAGGAATTTCCTCTGAAAAGTGAAACCTAACTCTCCTCTGAAGGAATAAATTAAAATAAGCTGAAGGTGAAAGTGTTGGAGTTTGGAATGGGCTGTGTTAATAGTCTGCAGGGACAGAAGCTGTGAAAGGAAAGAGGAACTGCTGTCACTGCTGTTAAGGCATTCTCCTGTTATTTCACCTTGTGCCATAGAATTTGCTGCCGAACCAAAGGGTATGGCTCCATTCCTTGTACCAAATTGGACTACTGATGTTTCTGGAAAAACATCTGCCAAGCTCAGACTGCAAATGGTGTGGTTGCCTGCACCGTAAGAGAATAACTAATGTGAGACTAGGCAGAGGCACCATCTGCTGTGACACATGCTTTGCACATGCTACTGATGGCTGTCACTCGGGCGCAAAGGATCCTGCTGTGCCACAGAGGGAAAGGAGCACATCTGGCTTTACCCATGAACTGTCTTCACTGCATGAGCTAAAGAGTTGAGGCTGAATTCCCAGTTCAAGAACTTCACAGATCAGGTTTGTGGTTTCTTCCAAGGTTTCTGTTGCAGAGGAGGACTAAGTCTGGTCCTGAATGAAGTCTTAGGCTTTTATGTAGTTGTTATGGTAGCTTATCTCTGAACACCATAGATTACCCTAATCAGTTTGGCATTCTCCTGTCTGTGAGAAAAGAGAAACTTGGGATGGCACTGACATCTGCAGCCTTATGTCTTCTAAGAGATACCCACTTTTTGTGTGTTTGCAGCATGGAAAGTTGGCACGTTAAGGCTCTTAACATAATAAGCCCCATGACATCCAAATAGCAAGATAGCAAGTGATTAATAGAGATGCTTTTTAAAAGGCTGTCATATTTCAAAGATGCTTTGGAGAGACAGAATAGAGTTTCCTGTGAAAAATCTTTTCTTGAGCATCATCTGCAAGTTATTTCTTGTTGTACTGTGTTTTGAGGTCTGTAGGTGACGTGTGAGCTTGCCCACACGACCTTCAGCTGCATATTTGCCATCCATGCCTGCCCTCTCCTCCATCATTCAGGGCAGTATCTGCCGCTTTCTCATTCAGCTTCTGATCCTGCTTAGGCACCCTGACTTTAGCTTATTTCTAATCAGCTGCAGAGAGAAGGGAATGCTGTCCATTAGCTTGTGTTTGGCAGAGCTTGTTTCAATTCTGTTTGATTTTGCTTAGCTCTCATAAAGTTGATCCCGAAGGGCCCTGTCCATTGCATCAGCTTGCCGCTTGCTTTCAGCTTCCATGCTTTTGCTTGCTTGCAGGCAGGCAGTCACCCAAGAGCAGAGTCAAGCAAACTAGGCTACCAGGAGGCCAGCCAGAGGCTGTTCTTGCAAAAAGAAATTTCACCCATCTTACCCAGAAAAGGGTGGGGAAAGAGAAAAATCCTCTATTAAACTGCTGGCAAAGGGACACTCCAAATACTCCCCTCTCCCTTTTGGAAACAAATAGAATTCAATTTTTGTGGGGATGGAGGGACCTGTTTTGGACACAAAGATTTTGCAGCTTGTAGTTTCAATCTAAAATTCAGCTGCCAGTGTTTAAGGGCTATATAATGGCCAAAATGGTTGCAGGGGGGAGAACCCACAACATTTTAACAGTAAAGCTGCAAAATTGAAACATTCATAAGTTGAGCAAAGCCAGATGTAAAGGTGTCCTGGTCAAGCTTAGCTCAACCTTTTTTTTTCGACTTTTTTTTTTTTCCCTGTTATGCATTATCACAACCTTCACTTAATGAAATAGGACACATTGTCCTATTTGTATTTCTCTGTGTGGAGCCTGCTCCTCTCCGAGTCTGGATACCTATTAACAGGAGAAGAAATGGGAGCACAGAAGATGCTGTCTACCTGCAGTACAGTGCCACAATGTTCTTCAACAGCCACTGCCGGAAAACCCTGCTCTGCTTTTGGCCCACAAAGCAGTAATGTGCTGCATGCATAAGAGCAATAAGGAGATCAGAGCATGCTCGTTGCATGTTGAGCTGCTGGAGAATTTAGCTGCCAAACAGTGGCACACTTCCTATTGAGTTTTTTGTTGAAGTTTGCAACTTGACCATATTTATGTAGATTTCTGTTTTTCACATTGGTGGTACAAGTACCTGCCTGAAAGCAGGGCAATCCTTCTGTCAAATTTTATATTCCTATTCTAAGCAAAGGTATTACTGTTTTTCAATAGAGCTGCTCATTTTGTTTGTTTGGGGTTTTTTTACTTGGACAAAAAAAGAAAAAAAAAGCCATTTCTCCCTTTTTTGTGGGAATGAAACTGTTCTAGCTGAAATTTCAAAGAAAATCATTCTGAAGCAGATGCTGTATCATGAAAAACTTCAGGTTGAGCCGTATCAGTGTGACAGCTTTAAAAGCAGTGATAAAATAGAGGCCTTTGTGCAAGAAGAAGTGTTAAATACTAGGGGCATTACCTACACTTACAAAACAAGAATTCATAAGGCTTGTTAGGGAGCCACATGCAAATGTTCTCCCATTCTCTGTGGGACGAGCACCAATTTCACCCCAAATCCTACCATTGATTTGTATGGTGAGTCAAGATCTCAAGAACCCTCAATTTATTCAGGGGTACTGACCACATTTAGACAGAGGCAACCCTTCTGTTGCCTGCAAATGCAGGAAAGATGAAGGCTTATAATTATCCCTCAGTTTCTAGGAGGAACCGAAGGCTAGTGTTAGGATGAGAATGGCCAAGTGCTCTCTTCTGACCTCATCTGTAGCTCAGCAAGTCCGATGAAAGCAATGTGCCTGAGGAACCCTGAACTGCAGCCTCAAGCTTTATGCAGTCCTGTCATCTTTGCTTGGAAAACTGCTTTGGCTTTGCTTCCTCAGCAACTTGAAAAGCTTCATAGACTGTAACTCCAATGGCTCAAGTGAGCAAACCCAAGATGCTCATCCATTCCAAAACACAATCCTCATTTGGAGACAGAAAATGCAATTAAGACCTTTCCTTTAATATACATATACATAAAAAAATATTAATTAAGGAAATGGGAATATGAGGCAAGCTGAAGATGTTTTTGCCTTTTATTGCCTCTGCTTGAATCAAGCCATTTAGACTAACATTATTCTTTCCAATATATTTATGAGTATGCTACTGCCATGACTCATTTATGACACAGGAATTATGTGAAGGTCACATGTCTTACAGCCCGTTACCCACTGGGTGTCTGCTGTCCGAACCAAAGAAAAGGCTAACAGCCATTATTTTCTTTGTCTTTATTCTCATGGAAACAGAAAGTGGATTTGAGGTGAAACATCTGGTTTGTTTGGGGTAAAAGTTATTTATCTCTTCTTTCCCTTCGGCTTTTTAATGTTTTACTCTTTTTTTCTAAACTCCCGTTTTTGGAATAAGGGCCTTATTTGAAGGCCATTGGATTTTTTCATCAGCTCCAGCAAGACCTCGGATCAGGACCTGGATACAGCTATGGATTTATTTCTACACTCGTTTCTACCTGTCCTCTTGTGATCCACAGTGGAAATGCCTTGTGCATTTGCTGAAGTATTTGTTGCATCCCTGCCTACTGCATTTGAAGGTGTGTTTTCTCTGTAGATTTTAACATGTTTCATTCATGCCAACCACATCCAAAGTATTATACAAACAATTCAGGGAGCAGGGAAGGGAGGTAAAATCTTTTCCCCAGTAAACAAAGATCATGGTGGATTGTGGGAAAAGGACTGTGACACTAATCCTAATGCATTGCAACATTGCCAGGGACATGTCAGTTGCATGCAGAAATACAAGTAAGCCTGAATTTTATTAAAATCTCCACCAGAACATTGAGAGCTTGAACTATGTGAGAAATTCTCTTCCAAACCTGCATGTGATCTACCACTTGAACAAGTTCCCAAAGGATGTGTTCATGGTCCAAATGACTAGGATACCAGCATTACAGACTGAGCTTCTTCCTTCCTAAACAGCAGGCTTTGGACAGAAGTTTTAGGGTTTAATACCAGCCCCACTGGCTGACAGTCTCTCGTGTACAATGTGCCTACAAACCTAATAATGAGGAATTTTATTTTTTTTTTTCTGTGAACAATGGCATCCTCTATGTATTAGCAAAAACAGATCTTGCATGTCTGGTATTCAGAAAGGCTTTCTACAGCCATTATTTCTACTGGGAGACACTACCTACCGACACACTAACCTCCAGCCAAACTTGGCTGAAATTGACCTTGGCATTCCATATGCAGTAGAGCAGCTGGACACTCTCTTAGGCATGTATCGCTCTGACTATACAAACATCCTTTCTTTGGGTTAACACCAGGCTTGAAATGCAGGTATCTCACTGGATACATTAGTTTGAAATCCAGTGTTTTTGAGTGTATTTTGCATCTTGCTCAGGTTTTCCATCTGCCCTATGCCCACACAACCAATACCTCACTTATTGTGGCTGCTTCAAGAAAAGCTCTGCAGCTGAGCAGTTCACCTCTGCCCTCCCTCCCTTCTTAATTTATGAACCTGCAGAGCAGCCGATGTTATTGAAAAAGTCTTGCTACTTGACTTTCATTATGCTAATTCTTTCACTCTCTGAGAATTGAGCTTAGGAAATAACACTGCATTTACACACGACTCTTATTCTGCTTTCACTTCATCCA